ACATACATACATACATACATACAAACAGACACACCAAACTTGTGGATTATATATAGAGAGATACTACGTCGACATGATATGGGTTGTAGATACGATTAAATAGAAAAAGGCACTATAGAAAATACTGTGAACAAATACTATGGAAAAATACTATGAAGAAAAAAGGCAAAGAAATATACATTAATATAACCACACTATAACCTATGGTCTGGTGTACGATCCGATCTCAATCTGATCCAGGTCCCATCCAAGCCTTGTCACCTTTTTGGCTATGCTGCATCCAGATCCTTGATAGCAGTGGACCATCTTCCAGTTGTTTCCATTCAGCTTCGATACATGCAGCTTGACACCACTTAGAGATGGCATAAGAGTGGTGCTATGAGTCTGTCGGGGGCTACGTCGATATTGCTGACGTTGAATTGATATTGCACAGGAGTAGTCGAAAGCAGCCGGCTATGGCGTTGACACGATGGCGAATGAATGATGCAAGCGAAGCCGTCCTTTAAGTTGTCCGAACGGTACGACAGCTTTCGTGGGGAATCGGGAAGAAGTATCTACCCTAAAACCCCATGATTCCTGAAAGCATTCAACAATTACCTTCTAACAACTGTAAATCAGCGAATCAAAAGTGAACTCTCCAAAGGAGCAGCTCTACTTTTAGTTGGGTAGAAATGATCTTTCCTATTGCTCAACTCTGGGCAGCCATAGGAGGGTCATCATATTTTGCCTTCCATTCATTTCTATGCTTTGAACAGATCCATCTTTTCATCTGCATGTTAAATATCGGCTGCGTGTTTATAGGTGGACATGAGCATGCCACGGAACATGGGAATTCTTGGGTTTTCAATGCTCTTCGGAATGATCGTACCTGAATACTTCCGACGATATCCCGTGGATACAGGTAAGAGTAAGAGTAAACTTTTTGGTATCGGATCTCCAGTCTGTGAGTCTTACCCAGACATAACACATAGTTATAAGCCTGGGAAACACTCCAAGAACACTGGAGCAGACCTTGACCAATTCCTGATTTCCTAGAAAGTGCATATAATTTCTCCAGAATCTATCACATATGCTAGAATTTATTGCGGCTGAGAACTGTATTCTTACCTATTCACGCTTCTGCAAAGGCATAGTCCTCAGTCGATCACACCTAAGAAAATGATAGTTTTTTAGGAGTTCTAATATTTGACGACGTTATCAATGTGCTACTAAAACTCCAAATGTTTGTTGGCGCATTGTGTGCTTGTGTACTGGACAACACTGTAGGAGGTACGGTAGGCTGAGTAACAAACAATAAACAATTGAACCACACGAAAACTATTCATTCGTCCAGGTGCGACCCGAGAGCAACGCGGGCTTCGCTCACGAGGTATCATTCATGAGATCTCCATCGACGATGATACTTACAGTTATCCTCCTGTAATTATGAAAATTCTGAATAAGGTGGGTGGCTATTCTGACTAATTTATTTTTCAATATGAAGTGTTTGTTTCCAGATTCCATTTATCAAATACTTCCCGTGTATGCCGAAAGAGAAAAAGGCCACGAATAAAGTGGCCGAGTTCTCTGCGGATGATCTCAAAGCGGATGAAGTTCGATTATAACTATGGAATCAAATGGGGATCCTTATTCAAACGGCTATGCGCTTTCGAGTGCACTCTCTGTACTTATTTCAAAAGACGGCAGATAATATTAAACACTTCTGTCATTCATTCAAACATCTGTCGAAAAATGTGGCAGACTGACTGAAATTCACTTGTAATAAATATTTTTCCTTTTTGTTTTATCGAAATCGATGGTTTCATCTGTAGAAGTTGTCTTGGTCCCACCCCTCTCTATTGGATATCGTTAACACATTGTCTGATAAAAGGGAAAAGGTTCAGTGGTTACCAACAGGGAAAAGGCTTGCGATTTAGGAGGTGAAGGTGAGGAATCGCTGAAATACGTAGAGATCCCTGATAAACTAGAGTGGAAAAGGCATTTGCTCTAGAGTGACCGAGCCATGGAAAATGGAGCAAGGACAACCTCATCGTGGCAAGTGCCGAATAATGGCCAAACGAATACCCTTACATTATGGGAAAGCGACAATTCCTCGCTACAATCATCAAGGCCCTGAAAGGCACTTCGGAGTGCGCGGATAAAAAACTTCCGCTTCCTCCCTTTCCCTTCAAAGCTGTACATCCCCTGCATCCTTGAAAATGACCGCATTGCCAATTTATCCGCTACTTATTTTGCTCATTTACTCAACCGAGATGTCATGCAGTTGAATAGAAACGGTCGTTTCGAGGGGAGAGCGGTCGTTCGAGAACGATGGAATGTATCAGGGTAAAGCAGGAGCTTTGCAGCGAGTAAGTAACACAAGAACAAAAGAAGTAACAGTAGAATCTTGCCAAAGTAATAATCACATCAAATCTAAAAATTTGATTCTCGGCTTCTGTTCATGTACGTACAAATTAGGGGGATGGTTTTGTGTCATACCAAACTTACTCTGAAAGAAATTGATGATTCTTGTTAGAGGCCTTGGAAGACACAATCTAATAAGCTGAAGCCCTCACAATGAATCGTCATGATAAAGTTACCAGAGTGCTACCTCGTCTGTGTACAAATCACATGAAAAAAACCCGAAGTTATTTGTTTCCGATAATGGCAGACAAGTCCGATGCTTTAAAGTCATCACCCTGTATAGCCTGTCGTCCCGTTGATCATCGATTACCTTGAACGGGCGCCAGCAATGTCTTCATTCGTATTCAAATATCAGGATGGTTTCTGTGACCTAAGCATAGCTCAATGACCTCGTTGATCGAAGGAAATCATTTCAAATGTTTAGCGTGTTCATATTTCTGCAGCGATAAAGTCATTTGCAATCATTTGCTGGACGTGACCTTAATGAGCCACCCTCTACCTCATGTCACTGGCAGGACAATGCGGAATAAAGCTGAAGACTCAATAGCATTTTCTCTAGCTGAAGCTAAAAGAAAAGCTTCGGTCGCTTCCGCAAACACTGTCTAAAGCGAATCAAAGTAATGAATACTCTCGACCAGAGGTAGCAGCAACTCAGCATCGACTTTCATTCAGTATATTAATGAAGTACCACCAGAAAAGGTGGCATTTCTAGTCCAATTCCCACAGCAAGCTGCAATGGTCTCCGGCGATTACGGTATTCTTTCACTGTAAAAACAACTTCCCCTCATAGTACTTTCATCATATATCTTTTGGAATCTTAAAAACATCTAGTACCTGGCAAGCTTTTTGATTTTAATACCGGAATCAGCATGTAATAATTGTCAGCTCATACAATCCTCCCTATCATCCAGCGCCCCCACTATAACCCACCATCGCCAGCAGTCCGGATCAGATACTAAAGGATGAGACGATGACAGATTCAATATCCGTAGTGTAAACCTGACACACATCGAGACTTTGCAATCTTGCGCAGGGGTCGAATGTGTGACTTTTACTGGGATAAGGAATTTTCAAGTTGGTGACGCTAGAGGCATCTTCCTGAAGCCAATGAGAGGTTAAGAGAGATACGATTTTCCTACAGCGTAATATGGGGTGTGGTGCAGTAGGAACGGAATTGTCGCGACGACGCGCGCGAAGGAGTGTAGCAGAATGCATCAGCAAGTAACAAATAGAGGAACAAAAGAACTAACAGTAGAATCAAGCCAAAAGTAGTTATCGCATAGCGACCGAGCTGTATGAAGAACGTTAGAACTCTTATAAAGAGGCAAATGGTTCGCGACAGCCGCGTGCGGCGGATCGATTACATAAAACCGTTCCTACTGCCCGTCTCCCCGTGATATGACTGCACACGACACATTTCTCATTTCTCTTTATCAGCATTTTCAACGCTTTTTCAGGGAATAATAATAAAAATCTACATCTTATCGAATACACTACACATTCACTAAATGGCGAGCATGCTTGTAATCTCATAATATCATCCATTATCAACAAAAATTCACAGGCAAATTAAAGAACGACGACATACGTACATACATACACCAAACATATGTATGGCTATGGACCATACCAATCAATGAGATTAAAGTTAATTTTGAAAATAATCGTCATACCATGTAAATCAAGCACAGTAACAAAAAACGAGTTTCTCAGCGATTGCGCGATAACAGGAATAATGCCACCCATAACCTTGGTCGCTCACGGTGAGAGCTTAGCCAGCCTTTGTCGGCTCTGCCTATGTACAATAGTAACAAATATCTAGTAGATCAGAATTCTTTTTGGAGGAGTAGTTAAGACCACTTTCAAAGGAAAGCGATAAAAAAGGGGAATATTACTAATGAACAACTAAGTGAAATAACTTGACATCAAACGCAGTAAAAGAGATTTTTCGTAGAAAGATTGTTGGAGGAATTGTATACATTTTGACGATAGAGGAGTGAAATAACAAACATTCAAGTAGGTAGATTGATGCGCACCTCAGCATTGGAAAATAAAAGAACTTAAAAGAAATACTGCCTTAATTTTGTCAGGCCTCAATCAAGGACGAGGAGGAAACCATCAAAAACCTTAATAGTCTGAAAAAAGAAGCGCCGAGCCACATTGAACTCAGTTTCATTTTCCTAAAGGATATCGTGCAGGACCCGTGAACTCTGACTATTCATGACTAAGTCTATGACGAGGAAAAGGCTTCTGACACTAGCGACGTGCCTAACCCGGCGTAGACATCACCTGACGTGGCCAGCCGATTTTTGCATCGTGGCGTTTGTACGCGAACAGATGTGGCTTNAAAAGAAGCGTCGTGCCACATTAAACTCAGTTTCATTTTCCTAAAGGATATCGTGCAGGACCCGTGAACTTTGACTATTCATGACTAAGTCTACGACGAGGAAAAGGCTTCTGACACTAGCGATTGCCTAACCCGGCGTAGACATCACCTGACGTGGCCAGCCGATTTTTGCATCGTGGCGTTTGTACGCGAACAGATGTGGCTTTCCAGTACCTCGCAAATTATCCCGAATTGCATCCGGGCACTCGTGTGGCAGAAGACAGGACTCGTATCCATTCACTATCAAATACCTGAAATAATAGCGTTCCTTTTTTCTCAAGTCAAATTGAATTCCCAGTTAAAATCACTGGTTTCCGAAGGTAAGGGAATGACTTCAGCTCCAGATGATGTTCCCCTTTCTTGGCCACTGTGGAACATTGTTACAAGGTAGTGATAAAGGGAATGGACCGAATCCTTCGATGATTGATCAAAAGGGAAGCGGATAGACCACGACCGACTTTCTCTTAATCTTGGCACGAGCTAGACTTGTTACTGTGCTGATTCAAGCATTCCCAAGATTTTACAACTTTAGGTTCGTTCTCGAGCGGTCCTAGTAGTTGCCCTCTAAAATCAGGGTAAGCCATGCAGCATACAAATCACATACATACATACATACATACATACATACATACATACATACATACATACATACATACATACAAATCAGGCCAGGGGAGTCTACTGATCTAGAGGACCGTCATGAGTACTGTCTAGCCTTACGTGAGGATCATTCCCAACTCGGTTTTTTCAGGCTTTCAGGCTTTGAAGAAGGCGAAGAGGCCGAAACGTCAGTGCATAAAGTTTCAGTCTTGGAAAGGTGCAAGCAGCACAGTAACAAGAAGCGAATCGTCGAAAAAGGAGGGGTCACGCGTTGGTCAACGGAAACTAGTTATCTCCACAGTTTGTATACTGAAACGCTTCGGGGTGAAGGGACAAAGGGACTTCCTTAGTGAGTTTAATAATGGCTGACTAACGCCATATGAACTCTATGTGGTACATTGTTCCCTCAAAATGTCTGACTGAGAAATCCTTCCTCCAAAACAAGAAATTTATTTCATACTGATACTCACAGTCCATGGTCCTCAGGGTTCGTTATCCCTTGCTGATGAGCAATTACACGACAGAGTTTGCCAGTTGTCATTTGCGGTACTCCCGGGAATGTCGCATATCTGAAAGAAAACGTCACTCAAGGGATTCGAAAGTGCTGATGGAACACTATAGAGATGGAGATCGAGCAAAAGAGAGGGAGGGGAGAAAGAGTCACTCATAGACACGAGCGGAACGCCACTGAGAAAATCTGCCAGTTTCACCTGCACGCGTTATTCAAAAAATAGTACAAAAAGTTTTAGATTTACCTTTCTGAACTAGAAAAAAGGCTGAAACTGAACTAAAGTGGAAAGTTCGGAGGTGAACGCATGCAATACTGCCATGATGCTCGATAAGGCTTGGATTACCATTAAGAATAAGCGCTTTAATATAAACAAGTATCGTTACGACCATAGTCAAATAGAGCAATGATAGCATATGGTATTTCCCCTGATCTCTCTCCCGCCACCTTTTTCCGTACGGCATGAAGGATAAAGTGCTTGGTGTTGATCATCCCCTTATGTAGGATGCAACCCTGCATTCCACTTCCATTAGGAATCGTTTCAATGCCTCCTCCTATGCGAGTCTGGTACCAATTAGCCGACCTTGGAGGGATGGAAGGCTTCGTCGGTCTAAGGGGAGTATCGATTCGAGATTCGAACAGCGGACCATGTGTACGAGATGCCACTTGCTACCTACCACCACTTCCGGCTTTGCATAACAGTGTAAAAGGGCAATAACCCGTCAAAAAAAAANAAAAAAAAACCTCATACTTGCGACCGCGCTTAGAGAGGAAGAAAAGCCAGATAAGGTGGTACAACAAAAAACAGAGAGGCTCCTTCAAATGAGAAAAGTGAGCAGCAATAAGAGTAAAGGTGAATAAAATGACGGCAATTCAATTTCTACAAAAAACGGATCATAAGCTCCTGTGACGTTCATGTTTGAGCGCTATGCCAGCAGAACTAATTATTTTCAGCAAAAAAGCCAGGAACGGCTCCCGAATACTTCTGAGATCAGGCTCGAAGGACCATTTTTTTTGAGGCAGACTTTGTAATCTCTAGGTAGTGGTAACTCTTGCTTCAACTAATTATAAGACTTAATCAATTCTGCAAGTTTACGTCGATTCGCTTTCACTCAATAGCTTTTCTCTTATGTTTCCGGCAGCCTTTCATGTCAAAAGTAACTCGATGTAAGTGACAAAATTGCGACGAACCTTATACAACCTGCTACCTCGTCCGGTATAGCCACCTTGACAAACGCGTCTGACGGGCATGAAGGGGAAGGCGAGCAGAACTGGCGAGAAAGGTCCTGAAAAGTTCACACTAAGGTTTCTTTCAGAGTCTACGAAAAGTCCAACCGCAACCGTGAAAAGGAAAGAGCGGCATCCAGCACTATCAGAAATGAAAAAGGAAATGCCTTGGGTTATAGCGATCAACTCACCATACTGGCTACCATATCTTCATCCCTTTCGGCCAACTTCTTTATAGCATCAATACTTTTGAGTATGTGAATGGCCGAAAACAGTGCCGTCAAATAATAAGCAGCATCGCCCTTAAGTAAGACGGAAAATTCGAAGAGTAGCCTTGAAAAGCACAACCTACTAACAAAATGAAGAAACAACCGGTCACCTTGGTAATCATTTGTTGAGGGAGTAACTCCCACATATACCACGCCTCTACTTCACAACCAACAGTCGACGACCGTGCCAGGATGTAGAGCAACCATCGAACCAGATCTATAAACATCAGTGAAGATTACCAACAAGAATCTAGGAACAACATTAACTGACTCTCTACTAAAGGCTTGTACAACTGGGCTCTTCAAGTATCGAATGATTTCATGGACAAAATTTATCAGAGCCGGAATTTGCGTTTTTCATCTAAGGTAAGAGAAAGAGGAGCAAAGGATCCATTGATTTCATTATGGCGGGGTGGGAGCCTATGGTCTCGAGTAGGCCACATGAGGCACTGTCAGGTCGAAAAGTGGCCTGGGTAAGGCCCGATAAGGGCTCAAAAAATATTAGCAACGCTCACTGCTACTCAGCGTTCCGAATAATAGGGGTATTTGGTGTCTTTGGTGAGACTGATATCATTCATGAATCACTTTGTTTTAAATGCAGTTAGCTGAATTACGGCAATGGTCAACAAACGCTGTGTTGCAGCTAACGGAATCTCGTCCAAACATCCCTTTGATCGTCATAACCTCATGAACCCTAAGAAAGGATTAATTCAGAACCACTACCAATGTGCTCTCCTACATCTAACCTGAGATGACAGATAGATAAGCAACATAGCAAAGTTATAATTATGAGGGAATTGCACCTATTGCAAGCTAAGGATTTCAAGCGGGTCAACGGGTTTACGGAGGGCGCGCATGCACCAAAGTAGGCCAAGGTTGTAATTCGTAACACATTCCCAAAATGATGCTTAGGACAGAAAGCAATGAATGATGCACTTATAGCAGCAACCGATAGAATATGGAGAAGAGAAGGATAGGTTCATGTGTTGCGAGGGAGTCCGCTCATGTGTTGTGTTTTTTAGAAGCCAGTAGTTCTCAAAATGAAGAGTCCAAACATCAACAATTGAAGACTACGACCGAAGCCAGAGAAAAAGGTTCAAACACTAAAAATAACGCAACAAATCCCGTAGAAAGCTGTGTAATTGGCTGTAACATGTAGCATATGTTAACCAAACTAATAACTCATTAGTCTGTCGGAAACACTGACCATCTGCAGCCATGATTTTCTGACTCTCCTTCTCGTCATCTTTTGTTTGTAATGCCAAAACGATGCTGATAGCTCTGAAACATCGAATTTATTTGAAATGGTAACCACCGATCAAAAAAGATAATTGTACCTGAGAAGATTTTCAAGTTTTTTCAATGGCGAGTAATGATGTTGCATTTTCCTGAGGCAATTCTTGATTTGTTCCATTACTGATGCGGAAGGCGTGACCAGCTTGAAAATACAATTTCTTACAAAGTCCATTACAATTGAAGTACCCATACAAGTAGCACCTCGTAGAGGAAACATCCAAGGACTCTACCAAATTGACATCTACGCCTCCCACGACGTCCAAAGCGAATCTCTCTACAAACCTGATCAGCATCGGCAAAACCTAGCTCTGCAAGGCTTAGGGTCTTCACGTAGGCAATGTTGCTGGACAATGCTTGCAATCCACCTGCCCTTGAATGCTCCTTCACCATCACGTGGTAGAGATGAGGTTTGACGCGCTCTAAAATCATAAACTTCAACTGAGTACTGAAGAATTTGAAACCATTGCAAAACACTGTCCACTTGCCACCTCTCCCCCAAAACTCGGTCAATCACAAGAGACGACAGAAAATCCAACTCACTCAGTAACAATTTATGTAATACTGCTTCGAGAATAGCGTCTATGTTGAGGATTTGATTCGCATTCAGATGAGAGCTTTCCTGATCGATGAGTCCATGAAGATCACCTGGAATTCGAAAAATTCGAGTCACTCCGTTTACGATCAAAGGAATTATCAAAAAGGATCACGACATGAAGTTGAATACACATAGGAATCTATAGGTAGTGCAGAAGTAATCTACATCTTAGGACGGTATTGTGCAAAAGGAGAGCGCCCGTAAAGGGAAGTGGCTGCAACCCAGCTCCTACCCAAAGATGAAGGTCTGCAGGGTAACCCGAAAGGTAGTCTAATGGGCCCCGTAAACGGTTTCCGGATCCTGAGGGAAAAGTAAGGTTCCTAGCGGAGTAATTTACAACTGAGTATCAAAAAGGAAAGACCATTGCCGATATTCATTTTAAAAAAAAAACTCCAATTCCGGTAATAGCTTGGGCCTTGGACGGGATTTGGACCCGTTCTTGTGCTATCCGGGGACATGTTGTTAACCCTTACACTACCGAGATCTCGACACAATCTGTTGAAAAGGCTACCTAAAGTAATCATTCACTATTTAGGCCAGTTAGTGGTCAGTAAAAAAGGTAAGGGGCTTGGTGGTGGAGACGCTCAAGAGTGACAAACTAACCTTCCCCGTGCTTGACGAGATAGTTCTTGATGCCATTTATGAACTGCCGTACATTCCGCACGACCACATTTGGATCTGCCTCTTCACTTTGAACGGTACACTCTATGAATCGCTTCAGTGTCGCTCCAAAAACAGTGCTCTCGTCCTCGGCTAGCCTGAAATGGTTTGCTGCTTGGTCTATTTCCCAATTCGGAGAAAGCAAGCAGGCAGGCACCAGGCGAAACCCTACAAACCTCTCAACATAGGTCTGAATCGCAGCACTAGACTCAGCTTGACTGGTTTTTCTTCCGGAATTCAAATTCGGTGACAGAGCAGGTAGCGACAGTGGTAAATCATCCAAAGAACCAATCTGGTGTGAATATCGGGATACTGCACGTGGAAGCTAAAACAATAAGGACTGAAATTCCAAGGAGACACATCAAAAATCCGAAAAACCCTACCGAGTGCATGGAATGGGGCGGTGTCCGAGCGCGTCGTTCTGCTTTTCGGAGCGTTCCAGTAGTGTACGATTCGTCTAGATGACTATCGATAGTCCCATAATTACTAAAAATTGTTTCATTATATGAACACCCATATGTGTGCTAGCTCAATGGACAACCACAATTCAAAAATGAATGAAGGTAAAGACGTTAACAAGGAACATTTTCAAATATCAGAAAACCGGGCCATTTCTCACTTCTAAAATTTACAACAGGGCACCACAATCAGCTAGCTATCAGTAGGTAGTGCCACATGAGCTTCCAGATTTAATAATTAAAAAAATAATGCATAACCAGATGTACTACCCGCTCTCATTCTCCCTAACGTCAACCCTGCGCCGTAACAACTTTCGATGTTCTTGTTGGTCGTGGCCATCTTCTGTTGCGATTTCGGTTGAGACGAATCTCTTCCAAATCATGTCCAGCCACCTCTACTTAGAGCTCGTCGTGGCCACTTCCCCTGCATTTCTTTGCATCTCGTACAGAATGACCTTGTAGCTTCCTTAGCTCATGTCCATACCATCTAGACGATGCAGACGCTACTTTTTCATCTTCAGCAGGCCACTAGCTGTTTGCATAACCGCCGTGTTCTTCCTTTCCGACTAGTTCGCTTGCAATCAACAACAGGCTCAATTTAGTATCAGTGTTTCTACGGACTGAATTTGATCCTCCATTATTGTTACTCATGATTCTCCCCAACAGACTAACATTCGTTGCCCACAATATCGCCACCACTGCTCTTCCCCTTGAACCTCCTAGAGCACCTTTGATCACTGGCGATATTATTGGGCCCACACGATTCTATTGACCAACTCAGCCTTTATATGAAAAGAAACCGTATTATTTATCATGTTGCCGCAAAAAAATTCCGGTTCTGCACTCAGTTCACTTCATGTAGCACCCACGATGAATTTCTCTCCAATCTTTCTCCAATTGCCATTTCACCTGTCATGAACTCTTGATTCTGTAAAGCGCTCAGGCAAGATGCAGAGCATCGAGAACTTCGCTATATCGACATCGGCTCTGGTGGGAACGTCGCTCGAAGAATCTTTCGATCCCGTGGTTTGTTTCTGACTCTACTTGTGGCTCTGGGACTCGGCTTGCAAGCAGCCATGATCGAGGATCCCTGGAGCAAACGTCACATAGAAGACAGGAGAGGCTCGGCAGGTGTCTAATCCAGCGGTAGAACAAGAAAAGGGGTAATTCGTTGGAAAAGAGAGTCAGTGGTCAAATCAAGTCAAATGTGAAAGTTCCAATGGTTTCAACGACGATGTTCAGAGTAAAGAGCCCGAAATGAAGGTTTTTATAGGGATATTCGTTGTCCCCTCTGCGGACGTAACTCGAAGATTTTCGTATTTTAAGCAAAAGCAAACAAGGATAATCAACTTGATGACGATGCCAACATTTTTTTACACTAGAAAATTATTCAACAAGTCGAAACACCTGATATCATCATTCTCCCATGCTTTGCAAGTAACGCGGTCCGATGGTAGTACTCGTCGCGATGATGCTGTCATGGATACCCACATGTCATCATCTGATTCATCTTCCGATTCGTGCATCCGAGTCGAGCCTGCCGGCGTTCGATCAGATTCCGAATCCTCTTCTTGTATAGTGTCAGATAACCCTGCAACAGCAATCCCTGAATTAATGCCCTATCGCGTTGGACAGACAAGAGAAATCGGATTGGACGGTAACACGATTCGGCGAGATTCATAAGAAAGGGAATGTGAAAGAAAAAGTTAAACACGTACTTCTCGACCTTGGCGAAATGCCCTCATCACCGTGGCTTGCTAAATCGAGCAAATTCTCCCATACATTCGAATCCCACGGTTCGTTGAACACTGTTCCAGCCACACTTACCGTATCATCTTCTCGCTTGATATCTGAAGCGACAATAGTCATTTTAGAGTTATATTAGTGTCCAGGCATGTTTGTTTCGAACTCTGGCCGAAATATTTGAACATTGACATAAAAATAGTATCCCGTTCAATTCAAATTAACTAATCAGTTCCCTATCGCACTGCCCTCATCACTGACTAGCTCGTTCAATCTCCGCTGATATGCTCAGGAAATTTCTGACAGTCTTCTACTCTGCACAATCATGTTATCAATTTCTATCCCTCTGTATCCTGCAAATCCCTGCATTGTTCCGCCTCTAGCCGCACTAACAGCACTGACTAGCTACCAAGTTTCCCAGGAAAATACTCATGCTCCCCAACTGTACTATACAGCTGGCCAAATAAATATCGAGATACGCTCCCCCTCCCCCCACACCATTGCACTGACGAATCCACTATTTCGAAGGTATTACCCACTACGTAAAGAGAACAGATAAATTTATGATAAATACATCCATTGCAGACAATGCCTTTACTCCACCTAAATTCTTTTCCAGGGCGGAGTTGATTAGTGGCACGTGGCGCACTTCACACATATGTACATGGTCACGGATTCGAATCCTATATCGATATTCGCCTAAGCCAACCAAGCCTTCCATCCCTCCGGGGTCGGTGAATTGATACCAGACCCGTCTGGGAGGATAAAAGCACTGACTTGTACATCGGCTGATCACCGCAAGTCATTGTATAGGCCACATACGCATTCATTACGCCCCTACGATTCTGGGGGGAAGCCTCATGCGGGGGCGCATCCCTCAGATGAGATTGGTTCATGTCCCAAAACTTAATCCTTCAATTTCTTTTCCACACACATGGCTCTCTAACTAAGACTGCGACCTTTTCTCAACCAACCAAGGCTCAGGATGGTCTCCAGTACTATGAAAAAGACAACTAGTGGCGATCGTGAAGGAAGTGAAGAAATCACCTGGCTTTGGCCCATCCGGACTCGTAAATTCGCTCAACTGTGCATATTCTGAGTTTTTCGTAGAGATTGCATCAACCGTCATTATCGATGGTGGCACACGGGCTTGAAGTGTTGGTCGAACCTGAACAATACTTTTTATGAAGAATTGTTGAATTAAATGTTTCCTGAGGATTTGGAAGACTTAGGATTAATAGGAGTGATCCCTTTTCTTTCCCACCAAATGGGACGTGAGAGCAGTTTCAAATTCCGAAACGCAGTCACACGGAGGATGAGGACCACTTCAAATTAGAGGCTTGGACCACGCGCGACCAGTTTGAGGAGCGAAACTAGTACCCAGACATTCATTTTCGGAAATGTCAGTGAAAACACTCGCTACAGCAGCCTGTGATTTTTCAACAGTTGAATTTTTTCCTACATGTAGACAAACCTAGGGATACCAAAATAAGAAATCGAACCCCGGACCCAGAAATACAGCAGAAGTAATGCTTCTGGTGATGATTCGAACCCATAAGTCCTAAAATAGCCCATTTTACCAAGTGCGTGGCCTTGGGTTCAACCTACTGCGAATCAATGCCTTTCCACAATAATCACGTTGAACTATTGATCTCTCTTAAACTAGCCTTCTATAAGGCATTCGCAGCAATTCTTTTGTCTACTTCAGAAATCGATGATTTGTTTCTGTAAAATGAACGAACCAGCGAGGGTTTGGAACAGAAGTCCTTAAGAAATAGACTCAAACTACTACTATATTAGTGGGTTTGACCATAAGGAAGACTTCAGCGCCGTTAACAAAAGAACGAGGCAAAGTCAAAAAATCAAACGTTTCGAAGGATCAGTTGAGAAATCACCGCCGCATAATAGCAACGAACAGTCATTTAGAGAATGCTCCGGAAAAGATAATAAGTATCGAAAGAAAGTTGAAAATTTCCGTACTCGAGCCTCAACTGAAATGAACTCTGTCAAAAATTCACTGAAATACTAAAATGGAGTGTCCTCAGAAAAAAAAATCGAGAAGTTTTCTCAAAACGGATCTCATATGCGAGCTCCAGGGGTTTTCTCAATTCGTGCTGCTTTGAAGAATAAAACCAACAACAATTGCACTGGTTTTTGCTCAGATTTTTTTCTCAGGCTTTTTGCATTCAAAACAATCGCGATATTATCCCATCAATGTAGCTATTGATGCCATTTCCACGAGCATCGACGGGAAGCCAAAGCGGTCAGAAAGTACTTGCGGGGAATTTGCTAGAATTCCACCAATGTCAACAAGAAGAAAACATGGAACTCATTAATAAACAAGCATCTCGATCAAACCTTTTTCACTCATAAGAAAGATTACACCCGATTAAGAAAAAGAAAGCGCAGAAGAAATATATGACAGAGCTCAAATAAGGCGAAACCACGACAACCTGATGCAAAAATAAAATCTTCAAATGAACAAAAAACAATAAAGAAGAAACTGACGGAATAGATGTAATAATCTGTGCGATAGACCGGGGAAAGACTTTTTTGGAAACAGGTTTTGGTGGATTTAAGAGTTCTTCGAAGTGACCTATGGAGATCTTCTCACTGACACCAACGAAATTCTGAACAACACTCCAACGAAGTAAGTTTATTGGGTGAGCACCAGCACGGAATGGAATGGTAAAAGCTAAGTTTGAACTCTGGTGATTTGAAAAAAAAAACAATACGACCTTCATAACCAAAAAGGACCTTTCCTCTGTCTCCCCCTCTCCCAGCTTCTAAATTTAATCAAATATCAGCTTT